ATCCATGACCTTGACAAAGCATGTTTAAGAGAAGGTTCTTGCTTACTTTTGAAAAAGACTAAGAATATCTGCCTTCAGGGCTAGTCAATCTTTATCAAGTTACACTGCTTACATGAAAAAAAAAGTTTAATATTACAGTGCCTACTCATTTTCTTGTTCCCTCATCTTCCCTCCTCCTTTTCTTAGGCATTGCACCATAAGACAACTTACACACAGAACAGTTGAAATGCACAGGATCAAGTGATCCGGCCCATATTTCAACATTTGGATCTTAATGTGAATTCAAACTTCTACCCTGATTCAAACATATTTTGAAGAACTGGCCAAGTCATAACTTGATTAGAAGGGCAGCCTTCTCTCGGTATTACACATACCTTAAAAACAGTGTGGGGCGGGGCGGGGGGGGAATTGAAAATTAATGCCACATAAATATTCAAGAACAAGTAATCTAAAAAGCATGCTTATTACCTCCCCTTACCCATGACAGACATTTATTTCTACTCCTATTCAGAGATCTGCATGTGTCCAAATGAAGTGTGTCCTCAATACCCTTTTGAGAAAGGACATGATAGAAGCCCACAGAAACAGCCATTCAACATAAAAACTGATGATGTGTCCTTACACTCAATAAATGTGCTAATCCATCATCCAATAAAGAATTAAAGAAAATAACTGCTTGCTTAGATATTTTTTTTCTTTTCAGGTATGACAGCAATTCATTGGGTGACAGAGGAGTTTACACGGTAAAATTCACACCATCTATGACAAGAACCGAGACACAGTATTCCAGCTGATCTTCAGTGGTAACATTTAAACAAAGTCAGTTCTCTCACACCTAGAAACTGTGACAAATTACTGCAATACAAGATACAATGAGACATAAAAGCAGTTTCATTAGAAAGGTGTGAAGGATTAAGCCCAGTGTGTACAGGGACTCCATTCTTGGTGATTTTCTTGAAGATACTCCTACAGCTGTAGAGACTGAGTGTCACCTGGACTGCAGAGCAATGCAGTACATCTGCACTGCTCCCTCTAGGAAAGGGCCACAAGTGCCAACAGTCTTGGAACACTCCCCAAACCACTTCAGGAGCAAACAACTTCTGAAATATATACACCCTAGTTAACCTGATCCTTTAACCCACTGAGTCAATAGACACTGAAGTCTAGGGATTCAAGGTAGTTCCACTGACCCCCAACTTTTCCCAAAAAGCAGAGACAGACATATTCCTCAGGAGTAAGACAGAGGTTCTTAAGACTAACCTGTGGGAGCCAGCACATCACCTTTACTGAGCCTAGGCAAAAAAGTTTAACACATTGCTTTTGGTCAACAGAAACTTCTGTTTCAACACTAAAGACCACAGGGATTCAAGCTTGTTAGGTCAACACCAGAGACTTCAGAAGAAAGGTTGAACACTGCAGGAAAGAAGTGTCTGTACAAGCAAAATACCAACACCAGCCCTGCAGTTCAGTTACCACCATGAATAAAACTATAAACTTATTTTTAGAGCCCCCCACTTGCCAGGTACATGCAAATGGTCAAAATTAGACCTGGGATGATAACAAGTTACAGCAGATACACAGGTCATCTCCACAGCCATAGAAAATCAAATCCTGATATTCATCTGCTTTGTTTTGACTTTTTGCAAACATCCCCCAGTTCTTGATCAGGCTTCTGGGAACATCCTCTACCTTATGAGAATTACTTTGAAGAAGTAAGGAGACACATGTGGTCTTTTCAGAATACACATTGCAGAACTTCCTCCTGCTGCAAAGCAATTCACTCAGCAAAATAAGTCAAGAAAAATCCCAGACATTTCTATCATTTTCAGAAACAGGAACTTGTTACAACCATCTGCAGATGCAACAACCTCACTAGTTTTCAATTCACTTCCCTAAATGAAAGCTTGAAGGTCTGTTTCTGAGTGAGATCCTATAAAAAGAGCTAAGTTGAGATCACATTTTCATTTCACATTTGGAAGTCATGTTATTTCCCTTCTCCAAAAGCATCTCCCTGTTGATACCATCAGTCATTCCCATTTGAGACTGGAAGCAGCCTTTTACTTGGCCCACACAATTAAGCCCTCAGTGAAGCCTTAATACATCTTTCAGAACAATTCTAAGACTCAAACTCCTATGCTGTGCACAGTATTGCCTTCCCACTGGAATTATCAGTTTATATATCCCTAATGTAGCCCATATGCCTCATTCACACACTCTGCAATGGCCCTTCCCACTGCATCAAAATAAAGTTACTAATTCCCCACTTCTTCACAGGAACAAAAATGTAGCTAACAAACATTGGTTAGCTGAGGGATAGGAATCCATATCATTGTGGTGATTTTTAGACAACTTTTGGATAACAATAGTTTTGTAATTCTGAAATGGTCAGAGCTCTACTGTCCCAAACCATCAGAGCATCCTAGATTTACATTCCTTCTCCCACGACAGGGACCTGAGCATCTCATTTAATGCCATCTGGCACTACTTCCAGCAGTTGTTGAAATTCACTAGTAGAAGATCTGGAGTTCAAGCAAATGGTAAATCCCATTAACAAGCATAAGATAGCAACTGAATGATACTTTAGTACTCCTTCAAGTGACCAGCCTGTCTAGAACCAAGAGCCCATGCTGAAACACAGCAGCAACTATATTACAGTCTGCATTTGAAAGCTATAGTAAGTACAGAAAACCAGATGAAAGTAAACACTTAGCAACTCAGCTTTCCAACACTGAAGACAATAATTCTGTTCTTTTCTCCCTTCCTCACACACCACCTTTCACCTTGTCACCTATGATCTCCCTACAACCCTCTGGAATTATTACCTTCTGCAGAAAACACACGAGTGCAGGCACCATTGTATCCTACACTTACAGGACTACTTAACCCATGTTCAATAGTTGATGTCTGAATTTAATTTACAAAGCCCAGTTGTTAAGTAGGGCAGTAGAAGAGAGGTTGTGTGACTTGACACCTGGCCACTAAAACACTAAATAAAATTATGGAGTTTGCTAAGGACACAGAACCCCAACATCAATACCAGAATTACAGCTCTTCATAAGGCATCACTCTCTCGCTCTGGAACCTGAATTTTTCATCTTCTAAATCCTTTATACCTTGTTATAAAACTTATTGTAAGGAACTGGGAAGTTTTACATTTCATTCTTCACATCTTCAAATGCTACTTATCCAATTTGAAATGCACCCAGACAATTAAACTCTGAACTGTTATTTAAAGCTTGTAAAATAGAAAAGAAAAAAAAAAGAAAAAAAAAAAAGAAAATTAGCAGTCTTCCCAGGAAATTATAAATTCTTTTCCTCTTTTATATGTGATATGCAGGTAGATAGAAAATTCTGTGGAATTTACTGCCTTCTGCCTCCAATGCACCCAGTTTCTTAAGTAGTAATGTTAGCACCAATATCCAAACACAAACCCTTTACAGTCCTTACTCTAAACCAGTAGATTACTTCTACCTCACTTTAATCCTGCCTATTCCAGATAGTACTTTTATTTATATATGTATATACACACAGAAACACACAGACACACAGACACACCATGCTTTCAAATACATGAGCTATGCTTTTTTTAAGCTAAAGCTTCTAGTAACAGATATGTTCGGTATAGGACAGTCCAGACTCAGCCTACAGATTAAAAGGTGTTGACAGCTACCAAACAACAACATAGAAGAGACATCAATAACCAAGATAATTTTTTTTTAACTGTACAAGAAAACATGACAGAATACATGATATCAAGACCAATTATCTACTTAAACAACAGTTTAAACACTACTGAGTCTTCAATCAGTGCTGCTTACATCAGCATTTCTTGAGCATTTATGAAAGAGCATTTAGATATATCGAAAGACCAGCCTACTGTTTGTCACTTGGAGGGTAAGCTACAAAGTCATTAGAAGTGAAATCTGCAATTATTTTCCAGAAGTAATGGTATCTCCTTTTAACAAATACTGTATCATCAGAACTGTACTTACAAACACCTGCACCAGCATTACTTAGTAATGGCCAGCAGCCAGGAGACTGCCTGGTATAAAACCTGCTGATCTTTACTTGAATGTACTTCTAACCATATCCAAAAAAAAAAAAACCATGGGAAACCCACTTAGTTTTAGACATTAACACCTGCTGTTGATCTGCCAAGTTCAATGCTGGGCAGAGACACTACTGGTAAACAAGGCCAGTTAACATCACATGACCAAATTCTTTCACAGTTCTACTACCTGGTGTCTCCAAGCAGTGGCTGACAGCTGAAATGAAACTGTCAGGGTGAAACATGACTAGCTCATCATTTTCCAATAAATGTTTTGCCTCAGCCTTGTTTCATGCCTTAACTAGCTAATGTCAGTCCAGAATACATCAAAAATCTACGATAAAGCCAACAGCCATCTTCAATAAAACATGAGGCAAACTACTGGACAGCTCACAAAGCTGCTGTCAGATATTTGGGACCTCAGCAACTGCCCTTAAACTCTCCAAAGGTTGTCCTAGTCTACAGCACGGCATTATCCCAGTGCCTTGCCATTTAAGCACACCATCATCCAAACCTCTTCAGAACTGGAGATGCAGCACTGTGGAGATGGCCCCACTCGTACTGGTGCTTGGCCAGCTCTGGAAATATCATTTATGTATATCTCATCCTAGCTTAATCCTGACCGAAGTAGGCAGTGACCATTTTGCCCTGTGTCCGATTCTCTCCCCTCTTCCCAAGCCCCTGCTCCATAAGGTGCTCCTTCCACTGTCTTCCTGGATAAAAGGCAAGAGGTCAAGAGAAGAAAAAATGGCCGAAAGAGCTGTATTATGCAATAAGAGAAGAAATGCTATAATAACTCATCCTCTCCTGGAGATTTCCCATCACCCTCATGCTCTGCAAGCTGGATTAGAGCAAGCGTGACAGCCAGCCGGCTCAAAGGCCCACTAAAGTGCCCTGCGGGCAGGCTCCTCAGCCCCGGGCCTTCGCTGGGGAAACAAAAAGGGATGCTCACAGTCCAGGTGCTTTTTCTTGGGCCCCATCACTTCATGCGTGGTGGCTTTGCAGACGGCTCTGGCTACGGCCGATCCCGTAACGCTGTACTGAGCAGCTGCGATGCGATCTGTCAGCGTCTGACCCGACATCTTCGAACGGCGTGCTGGCTGCTGCCTGCTCTGCAGGGGCGAAACACACGGGAGGCGAGGGGGAGATGCCGGGTCTGTGGCCGGGGGGAGGCACGGCAGGGACACACTCACACGGGCACTCACACAGCCCCTCCGCACGCACAATGGTCCCCCGGGCAGCCCGGCCCCTCCCGAGGCGCAGCCCCCCCGCCCCGTTGTGTAAGCCTCTGCCTCGCTAGAAGCCGCCTGGGGCAGGAAGAAGGGTATTTTAGGCGTCGCGAGGAACGGATGAAGGGGAAATAATGACGGCAGCTGAAGGAGGCTGCACACAGACAGGCTGCGAGCCGCCGGGATGGGGACAAGGCGGCCCTCCCGCACCTGCCTCGGCAGCGCCCGCCCCACGAGCCGACCCGCGGAGGAGCCTCCGCCGCGCCCCGGCCCCGCTGCGGCGCCCGCGCCGCCGCCTCCCCGATGGCAGATTATGGCACCGTTGCGCCATGTTCTGCCCTCCCGGTGCCTCCCCCACCGCCACCCCCGGCCCCGACAGGGACCCCCCCCCCCC